CGGATTTAACTAATATATCGCGTTTTAAACCGTTTAAGTGTTCTATTTAAATGTGTACTACTCACGTAAACTATAGACAGTATTTAAATTGGTTTTATTTAAAGTATTTAAACAGTCTTGCGTTCTGTCAAAATCGTTTTTTCTTCTCCGAGTTTAAATGCTTTATATCGTTACAAGGTGAGGTGCGCGTGCGACTACCAAATTGTTTATTGCGTTAACAATGATCGATGAGTCGCCTGAATTCACCACTCAACACTTATTGCCGTACGTATTCGAGCTTTCCACAATTCATAAATCTTCTTTGCGAGATTGGTTTTGCAATTTTTCGCAAGTTTGTTGATTATGAGAGAAACATATTTAATATATTATGTCGTTTGTAATATATTTTGCGTTTTATAAAAGTTAAATGTGAAACATATTAAAACATCATTGTATCCTTAATCGCACAGTTTGAGTCCTTAAATTAATATCACAACATTATATACGCCCTCTAACTAATTAAGTAACTCGTGGCTTTGTCTTGAAAGGTCCAGAGTTCGAATCTTTGGAGATATACTTTTAATAAGCTTAAAAAGCGAAGCAGGAACATACATCTAATCTGCTAATATTTATAAAATGATGGTGTGAATTATTAATATTGTAACTAAAAAGCTTTCAATTGCTGTAAAATTTGTAAAGCTTTAATTCCAATAACTAAGTTTATATGTAATCCTAACAATGTCTGTAACATACGGTAGATAACGAAGTCTTTAATAGATTTTTACATATACCTAATTATGTTAATAAAAATAAATCATTTTTACATTACAGCTGTCTAGGGTATGAATATATTAAACGTTTCAAACGAAATTGAGCGGATAACGTTTTAGGCCGCGTCGGTCACTGAAATTCAGCGATCTGTAAAACTCTTTGTAACGCCGCTACAGGCCACTGGATCCAGGGAACAAAAAGCGAAAAATATTTTTTACATAATACCGGCTAATTTTTTACAATACAATGGAGGTCTGTAGCAAATAATATCTTAATAGCGTTACAAATTGTAATGTTGATCGTTTAAAGGAGGTGTTTGATTGTGTATGTCGTGATAACTACTAAATAAAAGTTTAAAAAGCTTACTATAGTTTTAATTAGAGTATATATGAGTTAAATTAAATTAGTAGCTAGTTGCTGCAAGGCATCTCAACGTCGGACCTGTTTAAATTACATTAAAATATATTTTGAGTTTGAAACCTTTTTTTTAAATGAGTTAAAACTACTTATACCTGCAGACAATGCTTGGTATATATGTAATTATATTAAAACGTTCTTGCTTTAGTTCAGTACACAGACACAATACAACGTCGTGCTATTTGTCATAGAAATAAATAATCAACACTGTAGCTTAATTGGTAAAGCAAAATCCCGGTGCTGTATTGGCGTGGATGCGATTCCATCAGGGATTATAATAATAAATGGAAAGTTCATATACGCTAATGTCCATCTATTACTTATATATATATATATTTATATCGCTAGCTATCACAATACTGGCACAAAAAAATTGATGCATGAAGACGCAGCATCCAATGATGTAATTTTGCACAGTCAACGGCAAATTTGACGGGCGCCTTTATTACTTTCTGGATCAAATTATATTGCAGTAAACGGACGCAAAATTGTGTCTCTGTTATTGTAAATGAACACATTATTTATAGCCCCCGATGACGCCTAAACTACTCACGTCATATCGCCTAGACAGGTGCTGAAATTATCTGTTTACACAACTCAAATAATGATAAAATATATTAGAGAAGCATGAAATCTGTGTCGGCACAACAAAACAACGATTATCCAGATTCTATATATAAATGCGAAACAAATATAAACACTTCCAAACATATCGCCCCATTTATCGTAAACATCTAAATATGTAATCATAATAAACTCATGCGCATTGCGCAGACACTATAATTATAAGCTGATATAAGATTACATTAAAATAAAACTGGGGGTCCGCGGGGTTCTATTCCTGGGTGGAACAGAGTGTCACGCGACAAGTATTCAGAGCGATGTGGTTAGATTTATATAATTGAATAACGGTAGTTCTTAAAGTCCGCACAGAATTGGCGTGGTGGGTCTATGCTATGCTATCTAATTTTAACTATGTTAAATTTTCTTCTCTTTTTACCTTAATTTTACGTATGTCTATCTTGTAAGATCATAGGGTTTTAGAGACTCCATGTTATCCTATAACTATAGGTATAGTATAAATATAGCGGTAACTGCAAATATTTGTTTTATCGATATTTATCTTCTTGTTTTTCTGAAACTCGTTTATTTCAGCTTTCCATTGGTGCTAATAAGTAACTAATAATGATATAATCTTTAAATTTTTATTTATTTATTTGTGCTTAGTTTACTAGTTGGGTTTAGTATTCCAATCCGTAAACAATACAAGCTCTGCTTATAAATAATATATTCTTCAAAGTGTAAGTACCTTTTTAAAATTAACTTAATTGTTTAAATTAAAAATCTATCAAGATTTAGAGACGGACTTGAACCGGCAAAGAGTAGACCTCAATAGAGAAGCAATGCGGAACAGTGTGGATATCTAGATCTTTTTTAACTAGTGATTTTTTAATTTTATAAGTTTTAATAAAACACTTTAACGGTCTCGGGAGACCACGGCTGCTGCAAAGCATCCGAAACGTCGGGCCGAAGTTAAATAAGTTTAACTAATATATCGCGTTTTAAACCGTTAAAGTTTTTTATTTAAATGTGTACTACTCGCGTAAACTATAGACAGTATTTTCTTATAAGCTATCAAGTGCAACAAAATGTAAAAAATAAGAATGTCTTCATACTTAATTGTGCTACAGTTGTGTAAGATTTTGACATTTATTATAACAAAACAGTAAATAACATATATCGGTAGTTTAGATATTTTTGGATAGAAGTAAAAATCCAGCCATAGTTAAATGATTGATGACAAACAAACGGCAATGTTTTGTTTATAGAACGGTCCGGTATTTACATTAGATATTCCATTTTACGAACCCTAGTATGTATTACATAAGTGAAATCCTACACGCCTAAAATGTGGCATAGGGCTGACATATTTTTATGTCTGTTTTACAAATCTATAGTAGTATGGTAGTAGTTGACCTCCTTCTGTACGTTGTCCGGTAAAGTATTTAGTATGTGCACCCGAGATTCAAACACTGGACCTTTCGCGCAAAATCGTAATTTATACATAAAAAAATTTAAGCATAAGTTATAACAGACAGATGTCTAAAGCTTGTTAGTAATAACAAATGGGTAGCGAACACATGAACTATCGGTTATTAATTATAAAATTGTACCACTAAACCAAAAAGTATTTGGAGTTAAATGAAATCGTAAGCAAATAATTACGCGTTCGATCTCGCTGGGTGTAACATCTTTTTAATCAATTCATAATTTTTCAGAAACATCAGACTTACTCCGAAAAACTTAGATGTTAAAGGGATGGTAGTTATATCGAAATACTGTCAGGGTCAGGAACCGCCGTACTAAGGTGAAAAATCCGCGAAGCTTAATCGCACATTGATTACAATCTGTAGATTTTCAAATGCCCAACACGCAATAAGTCGGTATCACATCTTATTTAAATGTTATTTAATATATCTTCCATGAAGTGACTAACATGCTTGTCTGTCATAAAAAATAATAATTGGTAAGACAGGGCGTAGTCATAAATAAAATTCTATAGAATTCCGTATTGTTTTACGTGTGAGCCCACGGCTGGAATGTTTATGGTTTGTCTATTTTAAGGCGCCACCGATCATTTCTTGTGTAAACTACTGCCATCGCCACTGACTAATGGTGATTCTCCGTTACAATTATTGTCAATCTATTATTATTTATGGCTTTGTTTTTCTGACGAGTTGGGCTGTGTTATAGCGATAAAAATGTTTACAGTTTTGCTTTGTAATGTATGTAACATTTCCTGAAACGCGATTTTATTTGCAATTTATTTTAGAAAGTTATAATAACTGTCTGTAGTTTACGCGATACTACTCGCGTAAACTACAGATGTCATTTATTTTACCATCGTATAGCGTGGCGACGCGTCGCCACGGCATGCGTCGTCACGCCAAAAATCGGTTTTACGTGCGGCTATAGATGTTTCACATCAAAAACCTACGACACAGGCAAGACTTGAACCGTCATCCACGATGTTCCTTGCTATTGCTCTACTTATCAATTGAACGATTCAAATTAATTTATATAGTGAAGTCATCTGCAATAATATATGAAAAATATTAAGCTATTCAAAGCTTTGCATTCTATTATTGAAATATCTACGCCACACATTGTTCTAACGTTAACATATTAAATTGGAAATTTCCTTTGTTCTAGATCAATCACTCGTCTGGCGCTGATCTCGGAATAATCTATCAGTACAAAATGTAAGTATATTCATAATAATAATTAATGGTTTAGATAATGCCGCTCAAAATGCCTACCTTAAAATTGCTCGGACGTTTCATGACTAATCTCCTTAATTATGAAACATAGTCGGGGTGGAAGGGTAAATAAGACATCTACATAATATTAAATTTGAACCCTCCTTAAAGGCCTAACGTTGACGAGGAGACGAATTCTCAAATAGTGGTGTAAGTTTACACAACACACAAGGAATTTTTAATTTTAATAATAAATTGTTAAATAACTACATAAAACACTTTTAACAGTTCCAATCACAAAAATATGACGTGGTTAAAAAAACTAATGTTATCTGGTTGTTTAAACAATCAGTTATACTTAAACATAGGTTGTTTAAGTATAACTTTTTACTTTTTGTACTAGAATCCGATTAACTGGCTTTAGCCGTTGATTTTTTTTTTAATTTCTGTTTACCTACAGCAAACAAAAGTCTCCAACAACTTCTATTTGCCAATCAATATAAAGAAAATTATTTTTATTTTCAGGCAAAAGCAGTAACAAGGTTTCTCTAACAATTCGACTGCGCTTCAACGATGGAGCTGGAAGACGTGGAAATGTACGGCAATGGCAACTACGCTTATGACGACAACGGCACTTTCAACAGCACCTTCGAGAACTGCCCCAACATTAACCTGCCCGTCGTTTACGTGGTCACGCAGATCCTCTACGCTATCGTCTGCGTGGTCGGCTTGCTTGGCAACACCCTCGTCATTTACGTGGTGCTCCGCTATTCCAAGATGCAAACCGTCACCAATATGTATATCGTCAACCTGGCTATAGCCGACGAATGTTTCCTTATTGGAATACCCTTCCTCATAATCACGATGTCTCGCGGAGCCTGGCCCTTCGGCAGGTTCATGTGCAAGGCGTACATGATATCAACTGGAATTAACCAGTTTACCAGCAGCATCTTCCATTGTATCATGAGTGCAGATAGATACATAGCAGTGTGTCATCCTATAGCAGCGCCGCGCTTCCGAACTCCCTTCGTGTCTCGAGTTGTGGCAGCCACGGCTTGGACCGCCTCCGCGCTTGTCATGACACCTATATTTATGTACACGACCCTCATACCGACGGAGAACGGAGTCTCATGTAACATAGTATGGCCGGAACGCGATTTTAACAAAGGATCCAGAACTTTTACTTTATATTCGTTTGCCTTAGGTTTTGCGGCCCCTCTTACCCTTATTTTTATATTTTACTGCCTTGTGATCCGAAAACTAAAGACAGTTGGACCAAAAAATAAATCCAAGGAAAAGAAGAGATCTCACAGAAAGGTTACTAGACTCGTTCTCACGGTGATAGCAGTGTACGTGTTGTGTTGGCTTCCGTACTGGACTTTCCAAGTAGCCCTCATATATTCGCCGCCAACGGAATGTGCCAGTCGGATCACCATCACAGTATTCCTGGTAGCCGCCTGCTTTAGCTATAGCAACTCTGCAATGAATCCGATTCTCTACGCTTTCTTGAGTGACAATTTTAAGAAGAGTTTCCTGAAAGCTTGCACCTGCGCCGCCGGTAAGGACGTGAACGCCGCATTACACGTAGAGAACAGCGTAATAACGAGAAAAAAAGGTGGTGGAGCAGCACGAGCTCAGTGCCGAGCGGCTGGAGAGATGAGGCGAGTCGTGAATGTTGCTGGGTCCCGATCGGAAGCATCTACTGCTGTGACGTCACAGTCGATGGCGGTCGCCGAGCCGTTGCACATGGACGTGCGGCCTTCTCCACTGACTCCTCTCATAACGCCCAACGGGCTGACTCACACGCGCCTCTGAGTGCGGGCCTCTCGTCGTCGCGGGCCCTCCGAGGCGCTCCTGGACGAGGACACGCTCATAGTTTCTATTGACTAGGTCCCAACGAAGAGTGACTTCCCTCCATCTGAACACTCCGGCTACCCTGAGTGACACCGATAGAGCTGATCTCTTGTCTATGTGCGTGTCAATGTGTGTCGCCTCTGACAACCGCGAGACACGAGCCCTGTCGCGCGACTGTCGGACGCTTATACAGTCTCAGTGTTAAATGTCTAGAATCGGGTCGAGCGCGGCGGGAGACATCTGTACAGAGGTTTGTTTCGGCCTAGGGTTGTATCGAAGAATTTATTAAGTTTAGGTAGTTCTCTCGCAAGGCGAATTAGTGTTTGTATACCGGTTAATATTGTGTATAAAATTGTACATATCGTGTAAATAATCATACATTGTCAACGTTAAATAAATAATATTATGATATTGGAAATGGTATATTTATTAACCCGATTCCTTTTTATAAGAAGCCATATATATTCATGTAGTTTCCGATGAAAAATAAAAAAAAAATCCTACGTCAAGATCTATATTGCTTGTTAATTAGCGGAGAACAGACAAGCATGAAGTTCACTTCATGGAAGGTACAATACCATTGCCACATAACACTTTAATAAGACACGCTGTCGACCTATTTTGGCTTTGGATATTCGGAAATCCACAGACTGAAATCAACACGCTATTAAACTTCGTGGCTTTTTCATCTGTGGACGGTGGTTCGGAATTTCGATATTCCTAACATCAGTTTAACGTCCAGATTAACACCAAAAAGATTTAAGTAAATTATAAACTGACCTACCCTTCTCCTATCAAAAGTTAGATTATCCCCTAGTGGGCCTTGGGTAGAATACATTTCTATGTCCGTCAGAAGTAGTGTGACAAGACTTTTGTATCCTGTCCAAAAGTAACAATATATTGTTTCGACGGAATTCAAACCCAGCATCTCTCGAACTTAACGCAATGCTAAGGAACACGTCTAACCATTTAGCTACAGAGGCGGAGAGAACGTAATAATAATTATCCTTTATATAATAGACTTACATATATTAATAATTTTCTACCTACATATAACATAAACGAAAGTAATTACTAGTAAATGAAACCGTTACTATTGAAAAGCACTTCCATTAAATAAGGAAAACGATACTTTCCATCAAATGTACAATCAAGTTAAATATCGGATAAGGAAATTGAGTTTCGTTCCTGGCATTATTCAATTAATAATTTTCTAAATGATTGATATTCAATGAGGTATTAATATTTTATTACTTCTCAATAAGCACGTAAACAATATTTTAACGAGCACCAGGAAACAGGGAGTTATTGTTAATAGGTTGAACGTTTGGAAAAGCTAGAATTAAGTATAAGAGGTCGTGAATTCGAGTTCCGGGGAAACCATAGATTTAAATTAAACACTATTTATTAATTTATTTACTTAGGAAACGAAACAGTCCTGTCTCTTAAGATACGTCAAAACTTGTATTCTTATTAGGTAGAAAAAAAATCTTATAGAAATCTAAATCTATGTAGGTATATACTCAGAGACAGTACATCTATAAGTTTCACTGAGAACATTTGAGTTAAAAATAAAAAAAAAGCTTTGAGGCAAGGCTTTAACGGTTTAAAACGCGATATATGTTAGTTCAACTTATGTTTATTAATGTAACTACGGCCTGACATTTTGGATGCAGCAGCCGTGGTGACGGGGAGATTAAAGATGAAGGTTTCTCTAATGTCAAAGTAAAACTGTTGGTAGTTGGTATTTGGCGAAACTGGCCGGGTCCTTAAAGGCTACTCGCGTAAACTACATACAGTATTTAACAATAGATTGTTTTGGTCGGGCTGGGTAGAGAAGTCTAATAAACTTACGTGTAAAAGAAACCAATGTGTTCAATCCAAGCCCCACGGGGGGAAACTTGACGGGGGGGGGGAGATTTCACAATGCGAAATATTATATTATATTCAAAAAAGGGGATAGATTTTTTTCTCTTCCAAACATACTGTGTTAAGCAGTGTAATATCAACGGCAGCAATTTGTAGCGACGCCTCGTTAAGGGTGGCAGACAAATTGACACACATCTTGGTGGGTATTAACATACGCATGACTGGAATTTGCATACAAATACGAGGTTACTATCACGCCTGGTGACGACATTGCGCGAACATGCGCGCGTTAATTATTTTCTATTAAAGTATTTATTTATTAAAAACCAATCACACATCTTTACGGGATAATAATTCTGATAAGATTATATGAGATATCATACTACATATACAACATGTCTGTTTATAAATTAAGAATCGACATTTTTCATTCATTGATACATGCACCGCTCGCGCTATTTAATTTCAACTCAACATTAATTTTATCTGTATACGTATATAACTAAAATTAAAGACTGGAATTTCATTTACGTAAAACATTTTGATAGGTAAACGTTGGTGTAATGGTAGCAATCTATGGCTAATAATCAACGGGTCGTGGGTAAGATCCCCACCAGGTCCACTCTTACTGAATTTATATTTTTTCTGAAACATGTTGGACTGGAAATCGGGATATTAAGAGGCTAATGATAATATCAAAATGTAGAAAAGAATTTAGCTACTATATATAAAACCCATTTAAACATAAACTACGTATTAAAAACGTTTCGAATGGTTTGCAGCAGTCGTATACATTACATGTTTTAAACAGTTAAAGGTGTTTTATTTAAACACGTAAGCCACGGAATATACAGGGATTAGTACTCTTGTATTACGCTCAAATCTAGTTTGTCGTTGATTCACAACGTCAACTGTCTCAGGGCAGAAGAAATTGCAAATGATTTACGAGCTATTGTCCACAAGTCGGTATGAAGATAATTTATTGCGTCGTTTTCATATTCGCGAATCAAACAAAGGCGTTAGTTGTACCCATTAATTATAATTCCAAACGTCGCGCGACTGTCGCGAGACAATACGTTTTCATTTCGCAGACACGCGGTTCGATACCCACGCGCAACAAGAATAAAACCTGATAAAGTTTAATGAAATAGTTGACTACATATAATAAGTATCTTATTCAAATGAAATGAATGGCCCGGCGGTTGGGACGCTTTGCAGCAGACGGTCACGGGGGTCAAGACTAACGGGCTAAAGAATCAAGGGGATTAAAGTACATATAACAAATATGAAAATGTAAAAATAATTTTCATAAAATATCCTTTTATGTCCGCCATAAATACTCAATTTCTTTCCCGGGGATTCGAACCCATTACTCCTAGTAATTAACGTCGTATATAACCGAAAAACTCGCGGAACTTAAAAGTAGTGTAATTTTCATTGCGGCATACCACATAATTAACAGCCTTTAAATAAATATAATGTACAATTAATTATAATATTAAAATTATATATTATTAAATAAATAGTTTATTTAAAGTACCCTCAGTATGTTTCTTTAACATGCAATATTATTCTATTTAATATATGTTTTAGATTTTACGCGTTCGCAGGAGCAAAGGAGCACCAAATGACTAAGAAATAAAATATGTATAATAGTAATAGTAAATAATTAAATTCCTTACGTTCCTAATCTAATTAAATAGATTTTTATTTGCCTAAAATAGTTTACAGCAAGTAAAGTAAAAAAAAAATAATTAACTATTTAATAATGATATTCTTACAAACAGTGTGTCAAGGACTGAGAAATAGGCCGATTATCAATATAACGCACACAGTTCAGTCTTTGTCAACTTGTGAAGGCTGTATGTAATTGATTCTTCAGGAAAACTGTTTAATTTTAATTTAAGTAATGTTAAATCTACTGAGAGAGGCCACTATGAAAAGGTCACCATTCGTAAATATTTATTTATTCAGAATTTAAGTAAATATATAGATATATTTTTATGATAGTTGAAAACAGACAGGCATGAAGGTCACTTGATTGTAGGTGACATACCCCAGGCTATATATAACATCTAAAGAATATCTAACATAAACAATATTTTGACTTTGGATATTCGGAAATCCAAAGAATGTAACGCGAATCAACTTTTTTATAATTACAAAAATAATTTACAACATAAGATACCTCAGCCATATAAACTCTACACATGCGCTGGCGTAGGTCGCCTTTTGCGTTTGGATATTCGGATTTTACTTTAGCATAGATTATTTAAATATCGCCGTACGCACAACTTATTATCTTTTGAATAAAATACTTTAACGGTTTAAAACACGATATATTAGTTAAAATTATTTGAAAATGATTTTTTTCAAATAGTTAAGCTGTGGTCCCCGTGACCACGGCTGCTGCAAAGCATCCGAAACGTCGGGCTGAAGTTAAAAATCATTTTCAAATAAGTTTAACTTATATATCGCGTTTTAAACCGTTAAAGTGTTTTATTTAAATGCGTACTACTCGCGTAAACTATAGACAGTATTTAACTTATTATCTGTTCTGAAAATGTATTATCTTAAAAATAAAACTTACATACATTGACTAAAGGGAAACTAAAGTTGTCTTCGTAAATTACAGATGAGTGTTATAATTACTACACTAAGAATGATTTTGAATACAGTTGTTAAAATAGTTTCTGTTAACAGCCGGAAACACATAATAAAACTCAAGATGTCCGAAAACGATCAAAAAGTTTTAACGAGCCACGTACATGCAGAGTTCGAAACGCGTCACCAAATCTGTGAGCAATGCAAATACACAAAGTTATAATTAGTTTACTCTGCAAGTTAAAGCATTTTTATGAAAACATAGACTTCACATTTTTTTTAATAGAACGCTTCTAACGGATTTAAACGCGAAATATATTCGATTATTCATTTCTTAGTACAACTGCGGCTGCAGTAACTTGGTACGTGGGGATACACCCATTAAATTACTAAGATTGTAAACCTACCCACCTACTACTTGCAATAAACCACAGATAATATTTACAAATCATTTTGTTGAAGTAATTAATCGATAGGATAGGAAAATG